TGTGCGTGGCGGGGGTCCTCCCCTTGCCTCCCCGGAGAGGAACCCCCGGCGCATCGGCTGCCGCCGCGCCGTAAGCACAGCAGCAGTCGCGACGCATCACCGGGCGAGACGTGGGCAGAAGCGAGTCAAAGCACGCAGTCATTAAGGGTACAATGCTGCCAGTCATCGCGCTCCTGCAAGTGATTTAACTGCAGTTATTAGCGAGCAGTTTCGCTGGGCAAGCTGTGTTGCCCTCCCAGTAAACACCAGCAACACCCAGCCTGACGAGAGCTGGGTGAAGCAAACCGTTCCTGTGATCGCTCTCGGTGCCCTTCGTTATGACTCGTTGTTTCTTCTCCCTCTCCTTCCAGCTAATGGTGCTCTCCTCCGCGCTCCTGACACCGCGAAGCGCTGTGGAGTTGTTGTTTGCCGAGGAACGTCCCCAGCCCGACACCGATATCTGACCAGGGAGGAGCCGTGGAGAAGACGAGCGAGTTCCTCGGCTGGAAACGTCAAACCTCTGGTCCGTCGCTCTTCCCAGCAGCCTCCCAAGAAAGGACGCGTGCCCCACCAGCTCCTCAGCGTGGTCCCGTGGTCCAGCTACCCCCTCCCTGGTGGTAACACCAGCCCTGCTTGTAGTAACTCCCTAGAGAAGGAGCAGGATGGGACCAGGTGATGCTGAGTTTACACTCCCCGAGCGGTACGTTCTTCGTACAATCATAGAGTGGTAAGGGTTGGGATTCCTGATGGTTTCTCTGGGGTTGCTGCTGGTGGGAAACGTGTGCCTTACAGAGAATTACCCAGGCTGCGTCCTTGCGGTGGGATGGGTGGGGGCAGAGCAGCAGGGAGCCAGCCCCGAGGGCTGGGTGACGTGGTGGCTTCTCACTCAGCTTCCCAGTCCCTGCTCCAGTTTCTCCACCCACGGTCCCGGCAGAGAAGGCTGTTTGTGGTGGCACGCTTCCCTCTGGGTTTACGCAGGAGGACATGCGGGCTGTGGCGGTTTGATGATCACCCTGGAAGAATCCTCCCCTCACAAGCATTTAAAAAAGATTTTTAAAAATTTTAAAAAAAAAAGCACGATCCCATTTTCAAGCATCCGCAGCGACAGATTCTTTCTTGAGCTAGATTTCTGAAGAGCATGATTAGAAAACCGCTTTTATTTTTAATTTATGATGGTGAAAGAGCCGCTATCACGTTCAGCTGCGTAGTTTTTCTGTGTAGAACTTTGCTACAATCTGTGACGAACAAGCAGCAGCCGACAGCTGGTGCTGGGGTATCGCACCAGGGCTTCCAAACGGCAACACGAAACGGTGGGGTTCCACGGCCGCGTCCTCCTGCTTCATCCCAGGGATGCTAAGACCACAGCTTACGCCGAGATGAGAAAGTGAAATCATAAGTGATGTTCACCCTACCGTAGCCGTCTTCGTTATGCCAAAGGAGTAGATTAAATGGGAAGTAGCTTTTTAACCTCTGTTCGCTAGCGAGCGCGAGTTCTCTCAAATGTTTATAGTGGTCTTCAGAAAAGGGTGCATTTCGATTTAAATTCACTTTTGAGTGGCTGGAACAACGAACTGATTATAAAGCACGGACAACGTCGCCTCTATGGAAGAGAAATTTATAAGAACGACTATAGAATGGAACCCTGTGCTATAAAAAATGAGAAATGTTACGAGATTGCAATGTTAGAAGCCCGAGGAGTAGTTTGAACAGAGCAACTGGAAAGCAAATAGCCAGTCGCAGTTTCTTCTCCGTCCTTCTGTACTGTTTGATCTTAGAATATGGATGTTTTGTTAAATCCTGCAATCAATAAAGCAATGCTCTTACAGTGCAAAACCTCGTCTGTCTTCTCCCTCCCTCCCGGGACGCAGGGCTGCACGGGCCAGGACTGCGTCTTGCTGCAGCCCCTTTTTTCTCTCACATTATGTGGTTGCCCGAAGAACCTAGACCTGCTGCCTTGGGAGGTGGCCTCCAAGGTTCCCCTCACCCCGCGGGCAGCAGAAAGGCCACTGCTGGCCCCTGAGCTCAGGCACTTGCACCTCTGAGTTGCTTCCCCGAGCTGACGGAGCCTGGTGCTTGTGGTCTTCTCTCCCTCGCCTGACGTTCATCTGGTGCTCGCAGGTCTATGGCTTGGCCACCTAAGGACCAAGAGAAGGGGTGGGAGAGCCTCTCACACGTCCCATGCGTGGATTAGCTCCTCTGGCCGAGGCAGAGCCTGGTTTCCCACACCCATGTGCACACTTTGGGGGAATCTTTCCAGCCAGTGGGACCACAGCCTTGGATGGAGAGTTAGAATGTACCCTCAGCAAGTTTGCTGATGGCACCAAACTGGGAGGTGTGGTAGATACACCGGCAGGCTGTGCTGCCATTCAGTGACACCTGGACAGGCTGGAGAGTTGGGCTCAGAGGAACCTGATGAGGTTCAACAAGGGCAAGGGCAGGGTCCTGCACCTGGGGAGGAACAACC